AGGTTGAGGAGCACTCCTCTGAGGATTCCTGCCTAGGGCAAGGGTCGGACTGGAAGACCTCCCGGGGTCCCAATCCTTAGATCTGACAATTCTGTGAACGCCGATTTCCACTTATCTCTGAGCGCGGCCACCGTTTCTTCATCTGGCCCTGCTATTGCACGTCCATCAGCTGACAAGGTTCAGGGCATCGCACTAATTTTTCACGAATGTGCTGGTTGTGTTTTTTAAGCAGTGTTTTTTAAAACCGTACGGTACGGCCTACAGTTACCCCCAGCTGCTTTGCTGGGCTCCCAGTTTGGTGCCTGCAGGACATCTTGCCCCCTCCCCAAATCTTGCTGCCCCCACAAGGTGCCGTTTCAGTGCTCCCGGGACGGGCTGGTGCCGAGCCGCTCTCTGTACGACTTCGACGCACAACATTGCAAGGGCTGCGATGGCTGAATTCCCTTGTGAAAAGCCTCCCTAAATGACACAACGCTCTGGTCACTCCGTGCGCTGTGTTTTTTCCCCGTTTTCTCTCCTGTTCTGCCTTGTTTTATCCCTTGAAACTGTGGGTCAGCCTTTCGGCCACTAGAGGGCAGCCAAGCATTAGGGATTTTATATCTCTTGGCTGCCCTCTCCTGGCTGGGTAAGTGTGTTTCAGCCCTGGGTAAGCGTGTTTGGAGGGCCCTAATCCACACTCAGAATGTAAGGTGAGAAGAGGCAGGGTGGAGCAGGGTTCCTGGCCTAGCAGGTTGCAGAAGAAGGCGGGAGGACTTCTTTCCTTTGCAGGCATGAAGGCCCGGTCAGTTTCAGGGCTTTGCACCCTCTACTTTGACCAGCTGATGCTGGACCACTCCATCTTAAAAAGGGAAAAGTGGCCGTGGGAGCCAAAGGAAGAGTGAGGGGCGGGAGGACAGGTCTGGAGAAGAACCAGGCCCAACTTTGCTGACGTGGGACATGGAAATTCAGGCTGCCTCCCCCTAGACTTCAACACGCCCTACGCTGCCCACACCCAGCATCGGGTGGTGGGATGAGAGGGCAAGTCCTCCTCATGGAGCAGAGCCCTAAAGCTGTCCTTGGGCTCCCTCCCTGTGGATAGACAATGATGCACAGGATGGATCGATCAAACTTTTATTTCAGTCCAAGGCCAGGGAAGGTTGCAAGACAAGCGGCGGCCGGTGGACACATCCGCCCCATAGAGAGGAGGCTGTGCATGAATTTGCCCAAGGTTGGCCAGCTGTGGTCTATTCAGTAAGCCACAGTGAGCAAATCGTGGCTGCGGGTGGTGGGAGGGGGGCCCTCAGCACCTTTCCCCCCAGGCATTTCTGCTCATTTGCTGCCTTTGAGGTTAAGTGCTGGCTCTGCCCTGCGGTGGCAAGCTTTTAAGATAGAGTTTTCCTGTACTATTAATAGCACTTCATTGTTGTGAGCAAATGCCTGCTCTTTTCTTTTCCAAAAAGAAGTGCAAATGTTTTAACACACTTTGTAAACCATCCAGAGAACTTTGGTTCTGGCAGATTAGAAATGGCAATGGTGCTAGTAAAGCGAGAGTAGTTAACAGCCAGCTTTTCCGGATGGCCTTTGGTGATTAAACAGCTAGAGGAAGATCTGTGCCTTTATTGTATGTTATCATTTGCAGTTGCACTGGTTTTAAAATTATCTTGTTCCCTGTATTGTGGCTTGATTTTACACAGCATGTGGAGCTCCCCGTTTTTGTCCTGACACGGCCAGTATTGCTAGATTCGACAGTGCTCCACTGGGCTGCTTGAACTCAGCACAGAATCCCCGGCCCTTTCCTTAAATGACAGGCAGAAGAGGAAGATTTGTCTGGCTGCCCAGTTGCCGAGAGGCTGCAGTGCCCTTTGCCAGCTGGGAAGCCGGGCCAGTTTAGCGAGTGGAGACGCCAGGCTGCCAGCGGAGCAGTTCCGGTGAGCCCTCCTGGACTCCAGACCTCAGAGTCCTTTGCGCCTCCTTGGGCAGACTCAGCAGGCAAGAAAGGAGAAGAGGAAGGGTGGGGAAAGGACCGCTGGGGTAAGTCGAGTATTCATCTGCGGCAGCCCAGAGCGCCTGGGCTGTAGGGAGGGGCAGGGGGCAGCTTTCCTGAAATCAGCACCGTTCCAGCCTGGTTTAAACAGCCACCAAAGAGCATCTAATGTAAGGTTGCTGATGAATCTGTACAGAGCCACGTATTTTGAGGACTCTGTGCTTGAAATATTCTGGTCCTTAAACACTGGGAAGACCAACAATCTCTTCCCTGAAGAAAAGCGTGCAAAGAAGGAATTTGCCCTCGGGAATCTAAGGCACGATGTGTCCGAGGGGTGTTGAAGGGCGTGTGATATTACAGGTGGCCCAAGTGGAGACTGGATGGGCAACGTGGGGGAACCACAACCTGCAGGCCGCTGAAATCAGGACTTGGCAGCGCCTGTTCATTTTCCCAAATGGTGCACCGAAGAGCTTTCCAACCACCTTAGGAGGAAATAGTGAAAGCATGTATACAAAGTACATCTTCACTTTTTCCTCTGCTGCCCCCTTTTTAAAAAATGCTGCATTTTCCATCCTCAGCTCTCATTCAGCTTAATGAGACAGTTTTGCTTTGATGCTTCTTTCAAAGAAAAAAAAAGGACGCTGTGATTTTTTCTTGGATTTTTTTGTTGCCTGTGCTGTGCCAAGGTGGTGTGTAAAATGTCCTGCCTCCCTCCAAGGGACAAATCTCTCTGCAATGGGCTTCCCCCCCCGGCTTCCCCCCTCCAAATCATCCCAAAGGAGGGATCCCACCCTCCTTCCAGGGGCCTTTTCCAGTTGGGAAGGCTGGACTGCTGAGTGGCTGGAGACCAGAGGGACAGAGCAAATGAGTAACTGAAAACAGGACTTCCGGTACCTCCTTCACCATCAGAGCAGTTCGAAATGCTACGAAGAGAAATTCTCAAGACACTTGCAGGGACCCTGAACAGAGTACAGAAAAGTGCAACCGCCTTTGCGAAGAAAGAATGGCACGTTTTGGCACAGTATATGCAAAGTCTGACCTGAGCCAGCAACTTCCATGCACGTTGGGGTTTATTTATTTATTTTTAAAATTGTGCCTTCAAGTCATTATTGACTCCTGGGGACTGCTTGGACAAGTCCCTGCAGTTTTCTTGGCAAGATTTTTCAGAAGTGGCTTGCCATTGCCTCCTTCCCAGGGCTGAGAGAAAGAGGGACTGGCCCAGGGTCACCCAGCTGCGTGCCTCAGGCGGGCCAGAACTCCTGGCCTCCCAGTTTCCAGCCCGCCATCAAACTGCTCCCGTTGGGAATGCGACTGCCTGAAGCAAAGGGACTGCAATTGACTCCTTGTGGCTTGGAGCAGCGGGTCCAGGACACACGGTGGGTGCTGAAAGCCCAACGTTTCCCATTAAGTGCTGCAATACGAAATATGTTAAAAATGAGTTTGGTTCAAGGGCTCCAACTCCTCTGCCAGCCACAGGCTCGCCGGCTGCCTCAGTGAGCGTTGACAGCTGCCCTTTGAAATTTCCCATAATGCTCCTGGCACAATGTTACTCTTGGGGAATTATGGGAAATGAAAGGGCCATGCAACCAACCTAGCTGTAGGCCAAAGGAAGACACCAGCCTTCCCCAGCCTGGTGTCTTCCAGATGTATTGGGACTAGGATTGCCCCACAGTGTGGCTCTGGGTTAGGATTCTGGGAAGGCATTCCCAACGCCTCTGGAGGGCGGTAGGTTGGGGAAGGCTGGCCTTGAGCACTGGGCCTGAAGATGTCTGGTGCTGTCCCCGAGCTCCCAGGGTGCTCTGTCCCCCAGCTACCTCGGGGGATGGAGCAGGGCTGGGCCCGGTTAATCCTCGGGAGATCACCAGGGAACCCCATGAGAAATCAAAAGAAGGCGAGGATGAGCTCCTCCTGGGCAGCTGTCCAGGATGGAATCAGTGGCTGAATTCATCTTGGGGCCTTTACCTTCAGGAGAGAAAGCTGGAGCTGGTGGAGGAAAATGGGCCACCGGGAAACGGGGCCCAAAGACCAAGACGAGGCAGAGCTAGAAATGCCAACCTTTTATTTGAGGAAGCACCGGAGGGAGCCACCGTGGCGTCCCACGCCCAGCTTCCAAGCGAGGGGGCTGCTGGGCCCCAGGCCCCGGGGGGCCGGTCTGAGGCAGCCCAGGGCCTGGCCACCAGAGGGGCTGGGTCTGTTCTGATCGCGGCCCCCACGCCAGCCGGCAGCGGCCCCTGCACCCTCTTCCTTCAGAGACTGCGCTTGCTTTCTGGAGGGTGAAGACCCTGAAAGAGAAGCCCTGCCCCCACTTTAAGGAGCATCTTCGGACAGAATCGCTGCAATGTGGCTTTCCAGAGGTGAATGCATCGGAAGAAAAGGCCGGGCTGCTGAGTCCTGGCTGGCTGTCGCTGACCTTCAGCAGCCAAGTCTAAGGGCCCGCCCCAGCCCCAGCCGTGATCGAAAGCCCCCCCAAGGGGCCCTCCCCCAGGCCTGCGAGGGCCGTTCCTGGTCTAGGACTAGGGAAGAGAAGCAGGGTCTATGCAGTTA